TAGGGGATGCAGGTTTGCTTACACAAGCGTGGCAAATTTATCATGAAGTACGTAGAAATATATTTTTATTTAGTATAATATCATTTTAGTGTAAATATATTTAAGAAAATTTATTATTATTGATTTGAATTGAAATGAATGAAATATAGTTGTTTAAAAAAATTACTACACAAGTCACCAACATTTCAACACTTGAACTTCAATACGTTTCACCAAAATTATTAGCTGCTAAAGATCTTGAATTAGCTGTGCCTGGTTTGTTTAGACTTTTAAAATTTTATATTTTATTTTAGCATTGAGGGTAATTGACTTTTCCTAAATCTAATGTTTATAGGAACATACAAAAGTGGTGAACCTGTAATAAAAATTGTTAGCTTTATACCTACAGTTAATATAATTTCATCTAAACAACGACCAAGAAAGCTTAATGTAAAAGGAAGTGACGGAAAAGAATACCAATTCTTGTTAAAAGGTTTTCTTTTGATTTTGTTATTATCATTATGATTTTACTATGGTTATTATTACGTGTATGTGTATTGAAACATATACTTTTTGTAGGCCATGAGGATTTACGACAAGATGAAAGGGTTATGCAATTATTCGGCTTGGTAAATACACTAATATCGTTAGATTCAGAGACATTTAAAAGGCATTTGCACATACAAAGATATACAGTGACGCCGCTTACACCTAATATTGGACTTCTTGGTTGGGTTCCTAATTGTGATACATTACATGCATTAATACGTGATTATCGTGAAAGCAAGAAAATACTATTAAATATTGAACATAGATTAATGTTACAGGTTTGTATATAATTATATCCCCATTAAATAAATTGCATTGTCAAGATATCATTCAACGTTTATATGATAATTGACTTATTTTATTCAGATGGCGCCTGACTATGATCATTGTACAATATTACAAAAGGTAGAAATATTTGAATTTGCTTTGGCCAATACAACAGGACAAGATCTTTATAAAATTTTATGGCTCAAGAGTAAAAATTCTGAAGCATGGCTAGATCGTCGTACTAATTATACAAGATCATTAGCGCTTATGTCGATGGTAGGATATATACTTGGACTTGGTGATAGACATCCATCAAATATAATGTTGGATCGATACACAGGAAAAATAGTTCATATTGATTTTGGAGATTGCTTTGAGGTTGCTATGACAAGAGAAAAATATCCAGAAAGGATTCCATTTAGATTGACAAGAATGCTTAGGAAAGCTATGGAAGTTAGTGAAATTGAAGGAAATTTCCGTATAACATGTGAAGCTGTTATGACTGTTTTACGTAAAAATAAAGAAAGTCTTATGGCAGTATTAGAAGCATTTGTACATGACCCGCTTATTAATTGGAGAATAATGAATAATCCAAGTCCTAGACAAGGTATTGGTTGAAATAAATTTTATTTTATTTGGTTATTATGTTTAATCATATTATTTATTTGCTTTTATATATATATAGACGGCGAAGCTGTTAACAATGCAGGTACAACGAATCGCCGTGCGCGTGATATCATACACCGCATATCAAATAAATTGACAGGTATGTGGTACATTATAATTAAAAATTTATTTAAGTACTTGTATATGTGAGAGATAATTAAATTAATGATTATAATTTTTTATCATCTTCTTATAGGTAAAGATTTTAATGAAAATCAAATTTTAGATGTTCCATCTCAAGTAGAAAAATTGATTCAACAAGCAACCTCAATTGAAAATCTTTGTCAATGCTATATTGGATGGTGTGCTTTTTGGTAATGAATAAAATATTTACCGAAGGTATATATTTTTTAATGTAATATAATAGAGTATTATTTTCAATTTTATTTATTTATTCGGATGAGATTATCTTGAATGTAATAAACAATTTGTATAGAGTTGTAACCTTTTTGTTGCCATTTTCGTGAAATATTTATTACTTTCTTACCTGATTGGTTGATCACATCTAAAAAACCTCAATATTGTACAGTCATTATTGTTCAATATTAATCAGAATGAATCCAAAACGTTTCTCTAATATCTTGCCTCCTCCTCCTACCTCATTAACTCCATACAATAAAGATGGTTTTTTTTCCATTCAATTCTCTCTTTGATTTTTAAATGTTGCAGGAAACAACGCTTATTATTATATATAGTTAAAAGTATGCCAAATTTTCCTGAAGAAATCAGACTTGGAAATCTAAAAAATATGCGAGTATGAATTTATTTTTGTTAAATTATATTAAAGGCATTTCCTTAATTAAAAGCTTTCTTATTTAGAAAAATTCTGTCATTTTAGATTTTTGGGACCGTAATTCAGCGTCAATAGTATTCACTTGAATACAAGAGTTAGGAGATATTAATGGTAAAAATTATCAGAGTAGAATATGCTTCTCCAAGTAAAGAAACATTAAATCGCCAACAACATGCTAATGATATAAACAAACTCAATAACAACAACCAATTACTACCGCAAATACAAGAATACTAAAAAGAACCACCTCTACCACCAATACTGTCATCACATCTATTAAGCATGATTTAAATATAGCTGAACCAATAGCTCCTTTATTAGGGTAATCTATATTTAATAATTTATTTTTATCGATTTATCGTTTAATTTGTTAGTTTATAATATTGTGTAAAATCGGGGTAAATTATCCTACAAGAGAAATTTTGCAAAATGTTACGAATGCTATTGTAACAGTACCAAAGTTATACATACAAGCTTTGCACTTGATGAATAAAATGAATTTACTACCATCTTTTCTTCCAGTGGCTCCTGACTCAATACCACATAAGAATTAATAATAAAATTTATTATTATTGTTGTTGATTCAAAAATTTTTTTTCTATCTAAATTTCTGGCTCTTTGATTTGGTTTTTCAACAGCGACAACACAAGCATTACCAAATTCATTGAGTAAAAATAAACGTAAGGAAAGAAATGAATTGTTATCAGAAGGTAAATCAGAAATAGATAGTGAAGAGGAGGAGGAGGAAAAGGATAAATTATTCAAAATACAAAGAAGCATAGAATTTCCAGTAAAAATGGCGGTAACATAAATTACATATCTCAACAATAATTGAAATCCTTTTATAATAATTAAATTAAATAGTAATTCTATCGCCAGTTTTTTAAAACTAATTCAGATCTGTTTTTTCATAGGTCCTGATAAATTCTTCAATTTTCTACATGATCAAATGTGAAGTGCAGACACTAGTTTCTACTTTTACATAAAATCTTTGTGAAATAGACAAATGCTGCAATATCTCTAAAGTTTTATCATTTAACAAATTCCATTACTTTTTGGGCTATCATCAAATTCTCTTTGTATCTATCTATGAATTTTATTCCAAAGTTAATTGTCATTCATATGAGATTGTAGGTAGCAAAAAGTAAGCGCGTTGGTGTTGACAGCAACAGATGTGTGGTTTAATATGACGAGTGATTGCAAAGGATATAGAACTATTTTATTTTCATGTGTCACCGACTATTGGAAAAGAAATTGGTATATTTTCTGTCACACTTATTACAAATTATGACACCCAACTCAATTTATTACTGCTGAAGTATAATGTGTTGTTGCTGCATTATTTTGACCCCAGTTTCAAAGCTATAAAAGTAATTTCCCGTTTAATGATGATGCTATCACGAGTGTTTGAAGGGTTGCTCAATGGAACATAGCCCGTTAGTCTCTTTGTGATTACACTCAAGAGTATGTATGTAGTTAACATAAATAAAATAATCTAAAATATTTAAATTTTATTATCCTGAACAAATTCAAAAATAAGATTTCACACTTGTTACATTTCCAAATATTGATATCAAAAACTTTAAAATAAAGTCCATGGTTATCTATTATATGATAAACTTATATAGTAAGTAATATTAACAATGCAGTACACTAAAATTCAACCTCTAGTCACGGGAGGAAAATTCATGTAACTACTAGGCCCTAAATTATCTAATTTTAATAACCCAACACAAGGCATGATATCCCAATGTAATGAATATGAAGAATTTACTTCGCTAATGTTCAATAAATGTTAATTAGTTAATTTTATTGGCCAAATCTTTAAATTATAAGAAAATAAATTATAATCTTACTTGAATTTATTATTAATATCAACAAAGTCATAAATATTCTTAATATCAACTTCAATTATTGCATTATCTTGTGAATCAACAATTGTATCCCACAAAACTATTTGGTTAAGATCCTATTTTATATATTTATTTTTATATTATTAGCATATAAATCTAAGTCACATTAATAAATCAATCTGATTATTTTTATCGTTTAGCTAATTACATGTGTTTTAGTTTCATATTCACTAACAATCATCAAAAAGATTTGTTTCACATTCCAATTAAACAATGAAGTCAAATCTACAGTGTTCAAGAGGTGATTTTTTTGAGTAAAAACAAATAAAAGTTATTTTAAAAAAAATTTTAACTAACCAGCCTTTAATGACAGCTCTATATGTGCAAATTCACCATACTTAAAAGGATATACACCTAATTCGTTGATTACAATTTTTGCCTCTGGTGAACTTGGTATAAAGGTTGTTATGATAGCTATTGCACCTAATAAAACAAATATAATAGTCGTAGAAAATGCAAATAATGCATTTAAACGTGTTAAAAGATTATACATAATTACAAAAAATTTTTGTGGATGTATTATCGGTCGAATGATTTGCACGCAAAAAATTTTCAAATGATTTTTTCCGAAAGTAGATGACAATAAACTTTACGTACAGCATAAGTTCAAAATTAATCGAAAAAGAATTTTCTAGTAACGCGTTCATAAAAAAGTTTTTTGAGTGAGAAACCATAACAAGCTGTGGTTGTAGTGTTTTTTAGAAAATTCACTCAACGAGTCATTATTCAACATTGTTATTACATGTTTTTTTTGGCTTTCAAAAATATCGAAAAATGCCTTTAAATAAAATCGTATCAAAGACTAATAAATTATATAAAAAAAAATTTTTTTCGACGGCAATTTCAAATGAATTTTTGGCTCTGAATAAAATAATTCAAAATCTTTTATTTTGTATAATAAAAACTAATTGACAAAAGGATTTTATTAAAATTACCCACGCGCCACAAGTTACTTCAGAATAAAATATAAGTTGAATGTTGAAATCAAGTTTTAATATTTGCGTATTTCAACTTTTGGATACATCCTTCAACTTTTGTCTCTACAAGAACGAATTGATTTATATGTGAGTTACAAAATAAAGAACCAAATAAAAAATTATATTTCTCAAAGAAAACAAGTTCGGAGGCAATCATATGATTTATCTGCCATCATTTTCAATTCAATAATATGTGATCTGAAAAGATTATTCCGACCACGCTTCTTGAATGATGAAAGTTCAAGGTAGATTGGTGGCCGTTAGATAAAAAAGAAAAAGACGTAGGAGAAAAATCGGATAATTTTTTTCATATATATTTATTTACTTTATTAAAAAAAATTTTACTTTCTAAAGCAGTAATATAATAACAATAATCTAATAATAACAATGATAATAATAAATAACAACAATAATAGAAACGATAACTTTTTGTGCTACTGTAGCAGTTTTTGATAATTTAATTTTTAGCAATTATTTGAAAAATTTCTAATTCATCGAATTTACTACCATTCACTATACTGATGTTATTATAAGAACTTGGACTGCTGACAATTGTGCCACTTGTATTAAATTGAATATCACGACCACTGCCAAAAGTAGGTAGATGAGAATAATTACAATAAACTGCATTGCTAGAATTTTTAACACGACTATAGTTCGCAGTATTAATATCGTCTCTATTAGTTATGTTAAATATGAAACTTTCAGTTGTACTTTTATATCCATCTCCATTCCAATCAAGCGAATTATAACCACCAACTAATTGATCAGAGTCTTGTATTTTAGCAACTACCAGAGTGCCAGCGATGTTATCGCACTTTTTATGAAATGTGGTTGGATTTAAGCCATCTCTACTGCTACGATATAGAAGTTTAAACACATAATTGACTTGGCTGATTAAACTATATGGTGAGCTTTTGTTATCAATCCAGCTTGCAAAAAGTAAAGTGATCTTTTGCCTCATTGTTACCGAGTTAACCATGAGATTTCTTGATGGCAACAAATTATTTGAAATTGGTTTATCACCCTGGATTAAAAAGTAACGATTAATTTCTTTGTATAAGGCCCTAGGAAAAAGCATTTGGTATGGCGTAATTTTGTCGCAGAAATCATTACTAGAAATATCTCTGAATCGAATTAAAGAAATAAATTCTTTTATTGTCTTTTCAAATTCAGCAAAATCTTGCAAGGTCCAATCTTCAACATCTTCATCGATTTCTGGATGTTTTGCCAATCCCCATTTAATAATATTGTCCCAGATATCAATTTCTTCAGCATAAAAATCATCTTTTTCAAGAATTGCCAATAAAATTAATTTTTCCAATGATTGAAATTCAGCTGACTCAAATAATTTTCTGCTATCACTACAAATCTTTTCTAAGCTGATTTCTTTTAATTCATTAAAATTTTCATTATGGTAAGTCAATTGTAGAATTTTAACTGTATTTTCACCAATATAGGACTCGCAATTTTTAATAAAATAATCTTGTGTGTATCTGTAAAGTGATTGAAGACTAAGTTCATCAGATGCAATCATTAAATCCAATAAATCATCTCCGGTATATTCTCCTAATTCAATTTTACAAGCATATAAAAATCTATTAAAAAAATTTATTATAATTAATTAATTAGTTAATTAAATGAATGATTATCATTATTATAAAATTAATGTGAATTTACTTGAGAATAGTTTTAATCACGAGCTCATCGAAGTTTGATTTCTTGATAACATAATATCCATTTTCTTTTGTTGTATTTGACAATGCATGTTTAAAAAACGAGCAACGAGTGCTTAGAATTGAAGAATGCGCATGAATTTCTTTGGCATTTGTTCCAACACCAACATGCATTATAACGTCGTAATTGTCTTCCGAATCTAATAATTTTTCTAAATTATTAAAAAATTCTGCTAATAATGTTGCATCCATTTTTTTTTGTTTCTATGTTTCTATTAGAAAATAAATTTATTTGCAGTAGAGAAAAAAGCGAACGTGGGAATGAATGGGACACACCAAAAATGACATTATTGTAAATCACTTACAATCACGTGTTAAAATCAACCATTACGTGACAAATTTATTAGTGCCCCAAAGATTATGATGTTAAAGTCTAAAAATAGCAACGTCAAATTTTATTATTATTATTATTGTAATTGCTTTCTTTCTTGTATTTACAAATTACAAAAATATTAATTGGAATAACTATTATTTTAAAATTAAATTTTGACCACTTTATGATGCTAGAGAAGATGATACTTCTTTTTGTGATTCTTCATTTTCAAAAGATAAATTCTCTTCTGGAAATTGTTTTGATAACATTTCCTTCCATTTATTTACAAGATTCTGGGATCTTTCAACAATCTTATAATGATCTTCATTAAATGATTTTTCAGAAATCATTCTCATCACAATGCCCATTTTACTTTTCTATTGTTACATGTATATATATTTTAATAACTTTTATTAGTTAAAAGGTGATTTTAATTTATCAGTAAATTTGCATATTCATATATATACCTTTAAAATTTCAATCGTTATGAATGAGTTCTCAACTTCTTTAATTGCCTCATCGATTATTTTCAACTCAACCTCCTTTAGTATTTCAAAAATGAAATTTATATCAACTATTTAATTTATCTTTAATTATGAGGAATTAAAGAAAGTTCAACATACATCTTTTTCATCTCGAAGTGCTAATTTTTGCAATATATGTCTTAAATGAAGTAATCTCTTATCATCTCTAACTAATATTATTAAAAAAGAAAAAGAAAGTTTTTATTTGTTTCAGAGTATCCTTCACCCATTATAACATCTTGATTATCATCAATATTACTAGCAGCTTTTCCTTACCAATTTTATCTGCTAATTGTGTCTGTCCCTAAATTGAAATTAATATTAATGAAATATATGTGTGTATAATAATGATAAAATAATACCTTTTGATTTCCATTGGTAGTAGTTGTTGTTATTATTTTGTCTGTTTCTTTAAGCTCTTTCGCGACTTTTCCATTCGTATTAACATTTTGAAGTCTCAAGGATTTTCTAATAACAGGGACTTCAGCTTCAGAAGTAGTAATGTTTCTTCTTTTAATTTTACGCTTGACAATACTATTATTGTCCACTTCCTCCTTCTCATCATCAGATAGATCAGCACGTGATCGTTTTTTGTTTTTTCTGTTAACAGCATTAACAACAGCAATATCACCACCACCAATATTTTGTCCAGAAGATTTGTTATGCTTTTTTATATTTTTTCTCTTTGGTTTACGACCTCTTTTGGGCCTAATTTTATTAGCACTGGCTTGGTTGTCACCAACTCTATTTTCACTATTATTATTGTGATTGACTTCCTTAACTTTTTCTTCTTCTTCCTTCTCATTTCTCATTATAGTTCTTCTATTACTACTACTATTATTATTAACAATTGACTTATTTTGAATTTCGTTTGTTGGTTTCCTTCTACCATATTTAATCTTGTTCCTATTGCTACTATTGCTATAATATCTTCTGTATGGATCAGCAATTTTGAGCTGTTCGATTTTACTACTACTGGTAGCCTTGTTTTTTTCTGATGCTAAATTTTCTTGCACTTTATTGATCGCCCCGACCAATCTGCTATTTTTTTTATGCTTTTTTAATATACCATTAGCATCCTCATTTGTAAATAGTTTAAGATTGCCTTCCATAAGCAAACCGCTATTATTATAGATTAATGATAAGTTATTATTAATGCTGGAGATTTATTATTAAACGAGTAAAACAAACAAACAAACATGTATAACATACTAGTCTGACGATCCAATAAATTTTATAGGAATCAAGTCTCGACCATCTCGACCTATTCGTTTTCTTTTAATAATATTTTCTGGTAGCTCCTTATAATTTTCAACCTGAATGACACGTAGAAAATCATTTTGCATGGATATATAAAACACATTGTTTTGTAAATTGTTTTTTTGTAAACAATAATTCCCATTGGAAATATTATTGATAAACCTACCGTGCCAGGCCACCAAGGATGGCCTTTGACTTTTGCCAATACAATGGTCCCAATTTCAAATACCATTTTTTCAAATTTTTTAATAGATATATATTTATTATATGTGTGTGTATAACAATTAATTTAGTTCAAATACCATCAACAAACAACTTGATTTGAAATGTAATGAATGGTTAATTTGAAAAAGAATTGTTTTTGGTGACATATCGGCCTAACGCTTTTTTAATCACGCTATGCCCAAAATGGGACAACTTCTGGATTAAAATGTCACATTTAGCAAATCAGTCCTACTATTATGCATTCAGCAAGGAATAGTTGGGGTAAACAATCCAAAAGTATATATAAATTTGGTTTTATTAGGTTTCTCTATTTTCATTTCCATGCGTTTGATTCAATTCGTTTTTATCTCCTTTTCTTTGGCTAGCTTTTGAGAAATTCTTTGTTGTTTAATCATTTCAGATTTTTGCTTTTTTCTTCTTTATTGAATAAAATTTTCACACTCGAATAATTAATTTCTTTCCTTCTTTATCACTATGCGTGAATTTGCAATTCATATATATACTAAATACGTGAAATTCAAAAATTAGCCGATCAGAATTTCATATCACCCCAAAATTTTATTAATAAAAAAGATCTTCCTTCAGCATATATAACAAGAAAAAAAAAATGTATATGAAAGAAATAAAAAAATGCCAAATCAGAATTTTATTACATCTAACAATGTTACCACCAATATTGCTAGCAACAATAACAATAAAATAAGAATAGAGATATTACGTAAATTATTAGTTCATTCAGATGGGCGTGACAAATGTTTGAAAATCTTGCAATATTTTAGTAAAATAATTTTATTGCTTCATGTAAAAAAAAACAAATCCAAACATCCAATATTATATTCAAGGCTTACAGCATTAACCACACAATTTTCAAATACACGTAAAATAATTCGTTTAGCACATTTTCTTGAACCATATTCCGAATTTAAGGAATATATTTTTGGTGCAAAAAAAGATTTACCACCACCCGAAACTCCATTACATAAAAAGTCTGTATATTACCTTGGATTTTTGAATACAATATTTGGAATTTTCAATGATATATTTGATGATTTGTATTGTCTTGGTAAAATTGGAATATTGGACAAATCTGTTGCAGTAAGAGCAGAACCAATTGCAATCAGATTATGGTTTTTCGGTATTATGTTAGACATAAATGATATAATATATAGAATTAGGTTGACAAACCAAGAAATCAATAATATTAATATTGAAAAGAGTGCTAACGTTGAGAAAATTAAGAATAATAATTTAGAATTAAAATTATTAAAAGATAAAAAGTTCATGTTGTATAATAATTTAATAAAATTATTTGCTGATTTCATATTTTGTGGTAAACATATTTATTTATATTAATAGGAAATTTTGGAAAATTTTTTTTTAATTATTATTTATTATTATTAGGATAGGAATTCTAAGTAAGTTAAAAAGTATAATATTAATAATATTATTTTGCTTGTATATTAATATTATATTATATATGAATAGGTTTTTACAAACTATGGAAGAAAGAATTGACAAAATAATTTCTTTGCTCTATACATAGAAAATATTTTTCTATATAACTTTATTTTTATTTATTATCATTTTATTTATTAATTAAGCTATTGAAATATTTGTTTTTATAAAAAATATAAACAAAATATATTGTTATTTCTCAAGAATTATTTTCCAAGGTTTTTTCTATTTGAATAAATTATTATAAAATAATAATTATATCATTAAATTATATGTATATAATTTATATACTTTAATTAATGTCTCTCACTCTTATATTCACCTATCAAAACAAATTTCAATCAATCTATTCATTTGTTAATACACAAATTTAATTTAATTCAGACAGCTGACACAATTTAAAGAAAATCTAATTATATATCTATTTAAAATTTTTTAATTTTCATGATAATACCATTAAAAAAGGTTAAAGTATAGAATACGCATTGGATAAACCATTAAACCATCAATGTTTGTATCTGTTCACCATAAATTCGTCATGTTCTTTCACAATGCGACCACCTGGACTGGCATCATGATGACGAGGAATACCAAGGTTCAGGAATGGAGGATATATTGCTTTTCCATTCTCGTCAACCCAATCATAATCTATAAAGACAACTTTACCATTTATGGATTTGATAAGGACCCCAAATATAGTTCCATCTGTAGTGATATTATTGCTACCAAAAGCGTATTGGTTAAATGACATTTTATATGTCTTGTAAAAACAATTTTTAAAACTCTCTCTTCTATCATCACAGGAAAAAGTAACTTTTGACATTTCATAGGTGATTTTCAATGCAAAATCATAATCACGAGCAATTGGATTTACACTCCCCGGACAAAAGTATCCGGACGCCCGTTTTTACTAATTATACAAAAAAGCACATAATAACTACACAAATTTTTATCAAAATGCAGCTTAGGTTTTGATGAATATGCATGTAAATTTTGATACTCTCAAAACGTCTAAAAAAATTTTAATTAAAATAATTCGAAATTCGACGAAATCGCGATATTAATATCATTTTTTGTTTCTAGAATTTACTCAAAATCTTACATAATAATAAAAATAAAAATTTATGTCGATTTGTAGCTTAGATTTATCTAGAATATGAATACAAAATTTTGTAATTTTGGCTAGCATAAATAAATAATAATAAAATCGGATTTATAAAAAACGAACAGGAAAAATTTTGTGCCTTCATGAAGGTACCTAATTGACCCTCGCAATCCCCAGATCTTGATCCAATTGAACATCTTTGGAGTGAACTAGGGAGGCGATTAGATAAGTGAACACAATACCCAAAAAAATGCCAACGAATTGGAAGCTTGCTTTACAAGAAGTGTAGTCAAGAACTTCATATGAAACTTACTACAAATTAATAGAAAACATACCCAGAAGGATTGAGGCATGCATTTCTAGCGATGGATGGCCAACTTGATATTAATATCATTTTTTTATTTGTTTATATTTTGAACACAAATGTTTTGTTGATCATGAGAGTATCAAAAATTTACATGCATATTCATCAAAACCTAAACTGCATTTTGATAAAAATTTATATACAGTTATTATGTGCGTTTTTGTATAATTAGTAAAAATGGGTGTCCAGATACTTTTGTCCAGGGAGTGTATGTGTCTTAAATCATCATATAACTTCCCAATAATTTCATGTTGTAATGCTACAGGGTTTCCAGAGGTCTATGATTATAATATGCAAAGTCAGAGTCTTTTAATTGAATTTTTTTCCAGTTTTAATGGCTTTGCAGCTTCGCTAGGTGAAAACTTAGAACCCTTTATTTTTTTAATATATGGGATGTCCACCAGCAAAAAGGGGATCTGAGACTATTAAATTGTTCTGTGTTATTATCAAAACAAAATTGGTTACACAAATGGTTTTGATATGTAAAGTAAATATTTCAAGTCTTATATCTCATTATTGTATAGTGCACGCCACAATAACCCATCAAATAAAAATTGACCGACTTTAAAACCTAAAAAGAAAATATTGTGTGCTTATCAAAAATTTAATTGAGATGATATTTGATAGCTTTTGACTAGTTCTACAATCTATCATCAAGACAATTAAAAAATAATTATTGGTTCAGGAGTTATAAGCTTTTGAAAATCATGTAATTTTTATATGTTATATATAAAATTTTCCAAATTTGAAACATGTAATTTTGGCCCACCTCAGGTCACACATAAAAATAGATTTTTTAATTCTGGTAATTGCATTGAATTTATGAATATAAAATAATCCCATTCAAATTTTTTGTTTGAAGTTTCTCTTGAAGGACCTTTGACTTGTTGTGCTAGACATATCTTAGCAACCCAAGATGATTTTAAAAACCAAAACCCCTTACTTCAAGAATTAATTGAAGAAAGAACATAAAGTCATCTTCTATCCAAAGTTTCGCTGTGAGCTTAACTACATTGAAATGTATTTGGAGGCTGCTAAATGATATGTTAGACAACATTTCAATTACACATGGAAAAGTCCTTAAGAGAATGTCCCCAATGCTTTTGATTTTATATCACTGAGACAAAATTAGTAAGTATGTGGTGAGAGCCTCAAGATTTAAGGATTGTTACAGGAAAGGATTAACAGTACTACAGGCCAAATATATTGTAAAAAAATATAAGTCACATAAAAGGATTCCAGACAATGTGATAGATGAAATAGATGAATTAAACATTTTTATTTTTGATTGACATCTTTAATTGTGCCATGTTACCTCAAATTTTTTTAACATCAAATTTGTAATGAAAGTAATAAAAAAAAAATTCAAACTTTTTTTGTGAATTTGAAACATTTTGCACAGCATTTGATGGGTTATAGTGGTGTGCACCATACAATTTAATTTATTAGACTATTCAAAGGTTTATTACATGGTTGCTAACTGCTTAAATTTGAACCATTTGTTAATGAAACAATTGTTGACAAAGTGCAGTCAAGTAAATCTCCAAATTTGGAATTACCAAATATCGCAATGATCAACATCCTAAATAGTAAATTTGCACTACGTAAAAATTTGATTGGCTGAAATTCCTCCATTTTTTCCTTTTCTTTTCTCAAAAACTCACATAATATGAAAAAATTTAACTGTTCATAGAAGATCTCATGGATGTGTGTTCTCATAATCCATCAAAAACCCATCAAAATCCATTTAAACAAATATTTAATTATTTTAATTTTTTATTTGAATAGAATTTGATGGGTTTTTTAATGGTTTTGGTGGATTATGGGAACACACATCCATGAGACCTTCTATGAACAGTTAATTGACGATCAGTCTATAAATCAGAGAAATGTTGATCACTTTATTATAAAAATATGGAGGAAATTTATATAAAATTTTCAAAAAATAAAAATCTACAAATGTCCATTACACAATAACAATAAAACTTTTATAATCGTTATCAAACCCATTACTAATTTTGAACCAATAGATATCATTGTCAATAGATGATAATGACTTAAATTTATTGTATGAAAAATTCATACCACGATTTGCTTTAAAAAGTAAACAAAATTCGGGAAAAAAGTGGTGGTAAAAAGGCTTGATTTAAACGTAATTGAAAAATCCCTTCTCTCCAACAAATCAAATAATGGATATTTAGATTTAATCAAAATCATAAAAAACAAGCAGTTAAGAATGCTAATATGGATAATTAATGTAAAAAATAATAATATTAATATTAACTTCACATGTATAATGTTTTTCACAATAAATTTAATTGATAATCCATGATTTTTGAATTCATTAAACCTTTACCTTTAAGAATATTTATTATAGAGTCCACTCACACTCTCTAATAATAATGGATCCTCTGTAACATACTGAGAATATTGATATTAATATTAAGCCCGACCTATATGTCCAATATTAATATATTAATATATAAACTATTATTGCTGATAATGGATTATCTATAATAAACATCTTTTCCTAGTTATATTAATACTAATACTAATACTAAGTCAAATGGTCTGTTATAGAGTGAACTGTATATAGAAAAAAAAGAATTTTTTATTATTGTAAATGCAATTAAGATTCAATAATAATAAAACTATTACTATTACTATTACTATTTTCTCTTGTTAAAAACTAACATTACACATAAAAAACAAAATTTTCTATATAAAAATTTTCCAACAATCCATGAGTGCTAAAGAGTAAACTTTTTTCTTTGCTTAAGTAAAGGTAAAATAAAATATATTAATATGTTTTCTGAGTTATGTTTTATCTGCATGCTAAAAAAAAATTTATGTAGTGGAACAAAAGTATAGTACAATTTTTCATGCAAAGGTACTCAATTGGTCATTTTTGTGTCAATTTTCCTCCACTGATCACTATGTAAGACTCTTCGATTTATTTGTGGATCGTCAATTAAATTTTTTCATATTATGTGAGTTTTTGAGAAAAGAAAAGGAGAAAAAGGCGAAATTTCAGCCAATCAAATTTTTACGCAGTGCAAATTTACTATTTAGGATGTTGATCATTGCGATATTTGGTAATTCCAAATTTGGAGATTTACCTGACTGAAGTGATTGTTGACAAAATGAATCAAACCCATATTAGATGTTTTATTAACATCAAATTCATGATTATGATCAGCAATCAACAATCGCATGGGTTAAAATTGTGTTAGGGCACTGACATATATTAGCCAATATCATTTTAATAGTAGTGCTTACTCCCCCACCCCCCAGGTAAGACATTTTGATCACGTGCATGACAATCATTTGCCTTTTTTAGGTATCAACAAAGCACAAGCAAAAAAAAGAATTAATTTTATTAATAAATCAAGCATTTTAAAAGCAACATTGGAGTAAATAAATTTTCCTTTATAA